CTGGCCACCCCAACCCCACATCAATGCCGTCCTGATGCCGCGTGCCATTACACATGGCATGCGGCATCAGGACATCTTCCCGGTGAAGAGTTCTGATACACTGTGCTGGAAAGGGCGCTGAAGAGCCGCGTTCCAACTCTTAAGGCAGCCTTTTGTTGCACTTGAAAGGAGCAGCATTTTGCCACTTTTTTGGGGGTGGCAAAAGGGAGGATCAGGGCTGCGGCATGGGGTAGCCGTGGCCCCAATCCACCACTTCCCAAAACAGCCTAGAGCTGCCTGTCTGCAGTCCCCCTAAGTCATTTATATCTTGGCTTTAAATCTTAATTTCAGTGTCAAGATATGATACTGTATTCTTGACACTTGACTAGCACTGGGCCCAGGACAGAAACCTATGGTACCCCACTAGGAATTTATCTCTAAGATGAAGAGGAGCCACTGGTGATCACCATTTGGGTTTGGTCAGTCAATAAATTACAAATCAGTAATTTGTCAAGTCCACAGTTTACTGGCTTATTTACAAGAATATCATGGGACAACTTGTCAAAGGCCTTAGTGAAATCAAGAAACACTACATTCACAGCATTCCCTTCATCTAGCAAGCTTGCAACTCTATCAAAAAAGAGATTATTAGTCTGGCATGGCTGGTTTTTGAGAAACCCATTGAGTTTTAGTGATTATGGCATTCCTTTCTAAATGCTTATAGACTGTTTGTTTTATGATCTGCTCTAGAATATTTCCTGTTATTGATGTCAGGATAACTGGGTAACAATTGTTTGGGACCTCTTTTTCCACTTTTTGAAGCTGGGGACAATATTTGCCCTCCTCTAGTCTTCTGGGGCTTCTTCTGTTCTCCAGGATTTCTCAAAGATTATTGCCAGTGGTTCTGAGATCACCTCTGGTCAGCTTTTCAGTACTGTTGAATGTAGTTCATCTGGCTCTGGAGATGTGATGGTTTTAAGGCCAGTTACTGAGTTCAAGGTTGATAAGAAATCTGAGTTGCATCTGGCTCATCCTTCCCTTAACCAAACTGCTATATGCCAAACTCTCTGGGGACACTTAGTTGATATCTCAGGATCTAGATGAAAGTTTTCTAGGAGTCTCATGTTATGTCATAACCAAATAGTTCAAGGATATTGGGAAAGTTAAATTTAAAGAATACGGCCAAAATCCCTTGCCCAGTAGACTGGTTCTTGGCAGTTTTCTAAAGGTGCATCCTATGGTTTATATCCCCTGAACTGCTGTAAGACTTGATGGCCATTTGACAATTAGAGAAATGGCTCTGAAACTGGTAGGCTTTTTTAAAAAAAAAAAAAGAAGAAGGGAGAATAGTGGAAATTAATATAACTCACACAGCAGGCTAGACTTCAATTTATCTATTTTGCCACTGAAATTAATTTAGTACTCCAAATTCATCCTTTCTGAGAGATAAAGACATAAAATGAAACTGCCAAGCTATGTTTTGACTTCAGTCTTCAAATTTTTAAGCTAAAAAAAAGTAGAGCCAAGACAAATGCTGGTGTTACTGTTTCTCACAGGGGAAAAAATAAGTATAGAAGTAATGTGTGCAAACATATGCACCCACATTTTCTACAGTCATACACATGTCAGGGATGACAGGATAGGTCACTTCATGTTGGGAGAAAGAGTATTAATTAAATAATCTACAGGAAAGCAATTAATTAATTAACTTAGATATAAAGCATTCATTTGGGGAAGAAAGCTAGTTAATTAATTAATTACATTTGCTTTCTTCCACATTTGACTTCTTTAAATCCAAGTCCCTGCCATCAAACGTATGAGGACATTGGAAAATCTTGGCAAGCTTTTATCACTAATGAACCAAAAGAAATCCTTAAACAATTGGACTGGCCAGACTCAAGAACTGCAGTTCTTCATGGAAGCAATCAGCTCATACCTACAGCCATTACAGATGAAAATCCGTGACTATTTCATGCCCACATGGGAGGATGAATAATTACGGTAATTTTCTCCCTGGTGCAGAGGAAAGCACATATGCCACCATAGTATTTTTCTCATATTCAAACATGCCAAAATTTGATTATTCAAAAAGAACTATTCTGTGCAGAAAAACCTGGGATTTTTGAGACACAAAAGAATGGTTTCCTGCAAATGTTGCTTTGGAGGACTAGGACACCAAGAATATTTTTGGGACTAGAACTCCAAGGATACCACATATAGGATAAGACAAGGCACCATCATGCTGGAGGGGGGTGTCAGGAAGCTGAAATCAGCAAAAAGTAACTGGTTAAGGATTCATTGGGCATAAAAGCTTGCCAAGATTTTCCAATATCCTCATACATTTGATGGCAGGAACTTGGATTTAAAGAAGTCAAAAACATTTTTCCCATACCTGAGATCAAACATTGATAGAAATGGGGACTGCAGTCAGGAAATCTGAAGAAGACTAACAATGGGGAGGGTGGCTATGAAAGAACTAGAAAAGATTCTAAAATGCAAAGATATACAACTCAGCACAAAAGTTAGAATCATACAAGCCATTGTATTCCCTATTACCATGTATATGGATGTGAGAGCTGAACAGTTAAGAAAGATGATAGGAAGAAAATCAATGCATTTGGGAGAATGTGGTGCTGGAGAAGAGTGCGGAGGATCTGATGGACAGCCAAAAGGACAAACAAGTGGGTCCTAGAGCAGATCAAGCTGGAACACTCACCCCCCAAAGCCAAGAGGACCAAAGTGAGACTGTTGTACTTCCGACACATCATGAGAAGAGAGGACTCTTTGGAAAAAACAATTCTCGGGAAGGTGAAAGAAAGTAGAAAGAGAGGAAGGCAAATGTCAGATCGATGGACTCTTATTAAGGTCATGGGTATGAGTTTGCAGGATTTAAGCAGAGCAGTGGAGACAAGGGGTCTTGGAGATGTCTCATCCATAGGGTCACCATGAGTCAAGGGCAGTTAACAATAACAACAAAACTTTCTGAAGCTGTTCATAACCACCTAAATCTGTCCTGTTCTGGAAGCCAATTAAAGGAGTCTTATTTTGCATGGGGATTCAAGTAGACAATTGCCCTTCCCCACAAGCTGTATTTGAAAGTAAGTTTTCATTCCTTCTTTTCTGAAAAAGTTGTTAGAACCAATTGGCAGTATCACTTGAAAACATATAATAATAATAATAATAATAATAATAATAATAATAATAATAATAATAATACAATTTATTTTTATCCCGCCCTTTGGGATCCCAATCAGGGCGGCTTACAACAGTTAAAAAGATACATAATATCCAAAACAATCCCTCCCCCCTTAAAACAGCATTAAATCAAAAGGGATTAAAACAGTAATTCCAACAATATAAAATTTAAAAACACATTTAAAAAGAGATATAACAAGAAATGACTTGACCAGCAGCAATGATCTTCATCCATCGAGATGGGGCCATGCGAAGATCACTGCGGTGGGGGAACCTTAGGGCGGGACAATTAATCTGGAAAGGCCTACCAGAAGAGATCCATCTTGACAGCCTTTTTAAAGCCGTCTAATGATGTTAACTGACGGATCTCATCCTGCAGGCCATTCCAGAGCTTGGGAGCGACAACTGAAAAAGTGCATAACTCTTTCTCTCCAGATGTAAAAGGATGACATACTAACACATATTTATTTTGTAGTTCTTGTATTGATATCCCATCTTTCCTCCAATGAACTCAAGACAGCATGCATGGCTCTCCTCCGTACACCAATCCTGCAAGGTAGGTCTGGCTGAGAAATTATTATATGGCCAAGGTTCCCCAGTGAATTTCAGTAGAAATATGAATCTGGATCTCCAGAATCTCAGTCTATCACTCAAACAATTATATTTCATTTCCAATTCCAATTCCAAAGGATGTCCCTCTACACAATCTTCTCAGGACTATCCCCAATTATAATGACTATGAGCCTGCATTAAACACATAGCCACAATTGTGTTAATATATTATAACTCTCCATCTGACCCCAAAACCCAACATAAAACTCAATCATAGAATCATAATAATTGAATTGGAAGGGGCCTCATGGGCCATCAAGTTCAACTCCCAAGCATCTCAGCTATATGTCATTGTTCGGTGCCAGTTTGCTAGTGTTCACAAGCAGTCCTGTGTAGAGTGCACTGAAGCAACCAAAACACAAGATTACCATGCGTAAAGCATGGCTTTGTGGTTTGAGTGCTGGTCTATGTCTCCAGAGACCAGGGTTCAATTCCCAGCTCAACTATGGAACTCACTGGGTGACCTTGGGCAAGTCACATGCTCTCAGCCTCATGGGAAGACAATGACAAAACCTACTCTGAACAAATCTTGCCAAGTAATCCCCATGATAGGTTCATCTTAGGGTTGCCATAAGTCAGAAATGAATTGAAGGTGCACAATGGCAACAAAGAACTACAGTTGTCCCTTCTAATTTGTGGACTTGGAGTCCACAGTCTTGCTTTTCAGACTGGCAAAGTGGGAAGGGATTAAATGGTACACACACCCATGGCACACATGCACAGGAGCATGCACTCATTATAATCAATGGGCTTTTAAAATATACAAATTTCCATTTTCGTGTGTGTGTGTGTGTGTGTGTGTGTCTGGAATGAATCCCCTGCAAAAATGGAGGGACAACTGTATACTAGGTTTGAAACTGAAGTAGGCTGTTGTTTGCCTCAGCTTGAGTAGATCCATTAAAGCAAGATGATTTATCCACATGCTGACTCTCTGATCAACAATTGATTCAGTGGGTCTACTCTTGCTGGAACTAACCAATCCAAGGGATACTATTTTCTTCTGAAGGAGTGAGTGGAAAGCATTTCTAGCTACCCTAACACTTTAACACCTCTTGAGAGAGACACACCTTAACGGAAAACCCATACCTCTTAAAAACAATCCAAGAAATGCCCTGCATTTATGGTTTGAAGATGTGTCAGTGTGCTTTTTTTCCCATGCAGTGAGATTTCTCTTTCGAAAGGTAGAAAAGGAAACCCTTTCATACATCACTAATTTGAAGTGTTCCAGTTCTGAGGCGGAAGTTGAAAAGCACCGCTTTGTATATCCATTAGTCTCTGGTTCACTTTTGACCCAGCATGTGGCATCCAATGTTCACTTTTTGTGGAGGCTAGGAAAGGGGGTCATCATACACCTGCAATGAAAAGCTCTCTTTTGTTTTCCATTTGTCTTCCCTGATCAAGGACATGGGGGCAGGATGAGGGAAACATCCACTCCTATTTGTACCTGAACTTGTACAGTGCCGCTGGTACATTTCACCTGACGCCTGTTACTTAAAGGTTGGGAACCACTGAGGTAGAAAATACAAATGCCTTTGTGGTTATAAGTGCTCTTCCAAAACTGTCTCATGAAAACAAACAGGGAGGGGTTGTTGTTGTTCCAGGATGGAATCAAGATGTATATTTTTGTTCTTTTCAGGCCTAGGAAGAGGAAAATTGCATTTGAAAATAATAGCTCTCCCTTGGGTTGATAAGAAGACAAGTAACCTTCAAGAGTTAAGGCAACCATACCATTTACAAGCCAATGAAATTAGAAACCTTTAACAAAATAGGCAAGACATGCAAACCATTGTTTGTTTTCCAACATTTGGGATTAATATGCAGAGCCCATTGTCCATTCACTCTCTATTAAAAGAATAGATATGGATACTACTGTAGCAGGCCCTCTAACTGTCCTGATTTGGCAGGGATGGCCCCAGTTAATCTTTTGCTGTCCTACTTTCTCAGCTGCTTTTAAAATATCCTTCTCCCTTCCACTTTGGACCTTTCTCCATGGTTGCTTCAAATTGAGTTCAAAGTACGAAAGTAATTTGCACTCAGTTTACACAGTAGAAAGGAGAAGGGGAGAGGGGGAAAGTCTTGTCCTTCCCAGTTAAAACTCAGTACATAAATTCCAGGATTTCTCTGTTTAAAATACAGTGGTCCTTCCACATTCGCTGGCGTTAGGGGTGAAGAACACCTATGAAAGTGGAAAAATGGCAAATAAAAAAACCAACAGTATTCTTTTCAGCTAAGAGGACACTACTCTAGGAATCTTCAGGTCCTCCAGTGCAACTCCATGGTCAATATCTGCCAGAATATTATAAAATCATGCTAAAAGACCTACAAATGCCCAGAGAAGTGTTTTCTCTAGGAACTTTCTCTAGGTTCTCCAGCACTACTCTATAGCCAACTTCCAGCAGAATTGCTTTGGAGGGCTTA